TATCCGCTATCAATACAAAGTGGCTTTATGGGATAGGTCTACTCTATTAAGTTTATTTATTTATATTTTATAATATATGACATTTATAATATATTTCCTTGTTTTCATAAATGACAAATCTTGTACGTCTTTAAGACGTCAGTACTTCCGTCATATAGACGTCTTCAAATGACGTTATTTGTACGTCCTAATATGACGTCAACGGTCTGTGACATTTGCCCGTTTCAAAGACGTGATTTTGACGTGATGTTAAGGGTGAATATGACGTAACTTGTGACCAAAAAATGCCGTGATTATGACGTCACCATGTTTGCTGGGTACACTCAATATAGGAATAAATTAAATGTACTTATCAGAAATGTTAAAAATGACTATTATATAAAGAAAATAAATCAAGACAAAAATAACTTAAAAAAAGTTTGGGAACACATAAATGAATTAACAAATACAAGTCCTAAAAGACAAAAAATAGGAATAACTGAAATATATACAGATGGCGGTAATTTAACAACAAATAAAAACCTTATATCAAATACTTTTAACACATTTTTTATAAATATAGGAAACGAAATGGCAAAAAGATAGACACAAATGTTCATACAAATAATTCAAATAATGCATCAATTTACCTGAGTAATGTTACTGATAATGAACTTATTTTACATTACATTTACATTTTATAAACTAAAAAATAGCGCATCATATGGCCCAGATAAGATTAGTTCCAAAACAATAAAAAATATTCATAAACATTTACTTACACCCTTAAAACACATAATAAACATGTCATTTAAACAAGGTATTGTGCCCATTCAATGGAAAGACTCTATTGTCACTCCTATACACAAGTCTGGGGACGCTAGAGAGGTTAATAATTATAAGCCAATCTCAGTTATTTCCAACTTTGCTAAAATATTCGAAGTCTAGGCTTTTTTTTTTTTAAATAATTTTAATATTCTTTCAAAAAGACAGTTTGGATTTAGAAAAAATATCAGCACGGAAACAGCGGTTTTAGATTTATTTAATGAATTAACATCAAAATTAAATAAAAACAAAAAATGCTTAGCTGTCTTCTTAGATTTGGCCAAGGCTTTTGACACTGTTTCGCATAAATTATTGATAGAACGTTTAAACAATGTTGGAGTAAGAGGAAAACCTTTAGAACTCCTGGAAAACTATCTACATGAACGAACACAAAGAGTAAAAATTTCAGAGTGTTTAAGTGAGTCTTCCACAATCAGTATGGGTGTGCCTCAGGGAACAGTGCTTGGTCCAATACTTTTTTTAGTCTATATTAACAATATTTCAAGTATACCAGAACTATATGGTCACCTTATTTCATATGCTGATGATACGGCCATACTGGTTGAGGAAGACTCATGGGAACAGGTCTGCGTAAAGCAGAGAATGATTTATCAAAAATTCACTCTTGGTTGTCGGGCAGTTTATTAAGTCTAAACGCCCAAAAAACTAAATATATTACGTTCTCCATTACCACAGACCAACCTAGTACAAATGAACGATATAGGTATTCATAAAGCGCTATGTTCTATAACAAATTGTAATTGTCCTAAAATAAGTAAAGTACCTAAAATTAAATACTTAGGTGTAGTAATTGACGAACATTTGCGATGGAATGACCATATTATATATATTAATAACAAATTAAGACTTCTAATAAACAAATTTTATAATTTGCGAGATGTACTGAATCGTAAATGTTTGTTTTCGGTCTACAATTCACTTGGTGAATCAATTCTGAGATATTGTATAACTGTTTGAGGAGGTTCGTTTAACAATGTTTTAAAAATTCTGCAAACAATTCAAAACTCAATTCTAAAAGTTATATTAAAAAAGAATAAACAGTACTCAACAAGTGAATTGTACACCGAGGCAAACACGTTGAATATTAGAAATCTCTATAAATTACAATACCTACTATGGAAGAAAGGAACAAATCAAATTAAGACTTCAAATAAATATATAACACAAGAGGAGTAGAAAATAATGAAGTGGTTATACCTTTATATAAAAAGTCACATCTGCAAAGATCTATTTTCTACTTTGGTCCTAAACTATACAACGCCGTTCCCACCGCAATTAAAAATATTAAAGGTCTCGATAAATTTAAAAAAGATATAAAAGCCTTTTTATTGCAAAACAAAGACTTCTGCAACGCTTTATTTGAATGTTGCTGAGATTTTGATATTGATATGTCTTTTTTTTTCTTGTTTACTCTTTTCTTTTTTTTTATTTTAAACTTCTAACTTGCTCTAATATACTTGATTGCATTCTGTCTAATAATACACGCCAACTCTTTCATTCAAAAAAAAAAAATAATAATAAAATTTTCTTTATATGATACACATTTTATTTCTTGGGAAGATGCAAAACAACCATTTATGGTTAGGTACTTCCCGGGATATTGATGTGTATATTGGTATACTACTATACTAATTTGTGAGTATGTATTATATATGTAAGTATTGTATCTATGCTTCGAAATAAATGAATTTGAATTTGAATTTGGAAAAGCGTTTAATAGATGGCGCTACAACCGCATTTTATTTCTCGCGCATGTTCAAAATCAACGAATTAAATAAATATTTTAAACAAAAAATTCTTATACGTTTAGTTTTTTAATATTTTTAATTTTTTTTAAGATTAAATATTTAAAAAATTAAATATTTCTTTAATTTATTGGTTTAAACTTTTAAAGAGTGAGGTGAGCCTTGGGCCCCCTGACCGTCTGGGCCCACCAGCAGTGCAGGGGGGCTTATTACGCCACTGTGTATATTGTATATTGTATGCTCATATCCTATTTGTAACTGACCATGTCGTAAATAAAGTATTATTATTATTATATGTTTCGTTTTTAAATAAATAAAACTCGTGGTTTAAAGTTTTTTATTAATCTTCTAGGTTATAAATAATAATTATTAATAATTAATTTCATCAGTTATTCTTAGTGGTTAATAATTTGGTGGGGACAAAAAAACTTTTTTATTATCTTTTTATGGTTTAATGTAGGTATTTTTGTTATAAATTTCTTTGGTTTTGTTGTTCTCTGCAGAGACAAGTCTTTGGTTCTGTGTTTGTCTCTTTTGACCTTGGGTTCCGATTCTGTTTTACGCTTAAATCCGTCATTGCTAATGGCATCCTGTAGCTTTGAAGGGAAAAGAGCTTATAACATTCTAGGTAAATACCACTTTAGATTCCGCTTGACAAAATTTAACATTTCTTAACGATTTTTAACCTGTACTTTGCACTTGTAATAATCTCCGTGGTCACTGACAAATGTGTTGAGCAAATATCCATAAGGAATCCATGGAAGTACCTGATTGTCTTACGATCCTCCCTTGATCTACAATAGGTCCTTCGAAGAGGAATAACCTTTATTGCTAGTGGAAATCTGTGTCTTTCATGTCATGCTATCACTGAGGATTTTGGTATTGGAATATTGGTCACAACCTGATGACAGCTGACATGTAGTTTTTAAGATTTTTTAAGGTATTTCTGTTTATTTTTATGCTAAGTGGACACTGTTTGATTCCCAAAATAAGACTTTGTTAGTTGAGTTAAGTCAGAAATTCAATTGCCATGTAACATGGTTGGCAGTATTGCCACGATTAAGTTTTTATTTTATTTAATTGTACTGGTATTTAGTGAATTTGACGTAAATTTGAAGCAGCATTCTTGATGAATATATGTGTTACTATAGTAATTTGTAATTTGTTAATAATTCTGGTGCCCCCTATTATCCTTTTCTTTATTAATTTTATAAAATAAATACTATCTTGAACCCCGGCCTAGCGCCGACTACTATGAGCAAAACAAGGCATATACACGGCTTTCCTAATGGTCATACATGGCCAAATTATGATTATATATAATGAAATTATATATAATTATATATGATCATACATACAGAAGTACTGTGTTTATCACCTACATTTATCCCGAAATTCGAGAAGTGTAGTGAGAAATAAGTATAGAAAAGTAGATATAGTGAGAGTAGAAGAACAAAAGAACATTTCAAGAAAATAAAAAGAACCAAACAGAAAATTTATAAACAAGTAAGCAAGTTCCTAACCTAGCACAAAGCAATCGGTAGAGGAGAAACGCTGGCGCACGATCCGGCGGTGATGCCAGACTGTGCAGGAAATTGTAAGTTAGGGGAAAACTATAAATGTCAGATTCAGGTGAAGAGTACATTCTAAGTGAAAAAAGTAAGAGAAGAAGAAACCCGCATTTAAAAAATACATTACAAAAAAGTAAAGTAAAAAACACAACCAGTCCAGTTCAAAAATTGCCTGAAAATATGGATGTAGCAAACGCGGAATTAAAAGCAATGATGACAATGATATTTGAAGAAGTAAGGAATATAAAAACAGGACCGGAAAAGTATCAAGCAGAAATCTCAGCATTAAAAGAAGAAAATCAAAAGTTAAATGAAAAACTTAATAAGGTGGAGAAAAAAATGGATAAACTCGAAAAGGAGAAAAAACAAATAATGTCATAATAAGAGGTACAAAAGGAATAAGAAAATTAGCAATTCAGGAAGTATCGGGAGTTTAAGAGAAAATGGGCGTAGATAATATTGAATTTTTAAAAGTAGAAACTATCAAACCAAAAACAGGGATGTCTTTTATTGTTGCTCATCTAAAAGATGGAGAAATGAAAACAAAAATTATGCAAAACAAAAGTAAGTTAAAGGGATCAGATATTTACATAGACAATGATTATACGGAAAAAGAACAAAAAGTACAAAAAACAATAGCTGAGTATGCAAAAAACATAGCCAAAGAGAGAAGAAAAGTAAAAATAGGATACAGAAAGCTCATAATTGATGGACAAAAATGGGTGTGGAATGACGAAACAAGTCAATTAGTGGAGATACCAATAGAGCGAGAAGAGTATGGGGAAGGTAGCTCGACCCAAACAGGTGCAAAAAACTAAATACGTGGCATAATGAAAATGACACAATTTCGACCAAGGCTATGAACAAGGACATGAATAATGGTAAGGAAAACATAAACATGGGTACGTGGAACTTAAGAGGGGTTTATGAGGCAGGAGCACTTAAGAGCCTTATAAGAAAGTTAAATAAATATAATATGGACCTCGTAGCGCTGCAAGAGACGCATCTAACTGGAAATGAAATAACCTTTATGGATAATTTTACTTTATTTACAAGTGGAAGCAATAGGCGCAGATATGGTGTAGGTTTTCTGATTAAGAATAGTCTAAAAGGAGAAGTAAAATATTTTAAACCTATTTCTGATAGTGTGTCTCATAAGGCTAAAAGGGTTAAATGAAGCCATAACAATAATCAATATCCACGCCCCTACTGAAGAAAAAGATGAAGAAATAAAAAATGAATTTTATGAAAGGCTGGAAACGATAATGGATAATATAACAGATGGGGATATAAAAATTATAATGGGGGATGCAAACGCTAAAATTGGAAAAGAGGATATATACAAAAATATAACAGGAGGAGAAAGTAAGCACATGAAAAGTAATGATAATGGGGAAAGATTGATAAGTTTAGCCATAGAAAAGAATATGAAAATTATGAGTACGCATTTTAAATGAAAAGATATTCACAAAGGTACATGGATGATTCCTGGAAGTTCAAAATCCAACCAAATTGATCATGTCTTAATAGCAGACAAATAAAAAATGTAAGAACATTCAGAGGAGCAGAGGCTGATTCTGATCATTTTCTAGTAGATATAAAATTTAAATACCCAAAACCTATAATTAAAAAAAACTAAAGAAAAAATATATTAGATATAATACTGAAAATCTAAAGCAAGTAGGGACTTCAAATAAATATAGGAAAAGAATATATGAACATTTAAAGAAAATCAATATAGATGAACAAAGAAATGTAGAGGCCAAATGGAATAACCTGGAAAAAGCTATAAATAGAGCAACAATGGAAAGTTTACCAAAACAAAAACCAAACCATATGAAAGAATGGATGAATGAGGCATGTAAAAAAGAGATAGAGGAAAAAATAATGCTAAGAAAAAAAATTTTACAAAGTGGAAGTAATGAGGACAGAAAAGCATATCAAGAACAAAGAAAAAAAGTGAAAAGCCTATGCAGATTCCAAAAAAGACAAATGATGGAGGAAAGAATGAAAAATATGGAAGAAAAATACAGGAAAAAAGAACTTTTACAAAGAAGTAAATAATATCAAGGCAGGATATCAGGCGGCAACTAGTTTTTTCAAGGACAAGCATGGAAACTTAATAGGCGAAGAAGAAGATATTCTAAATAGATGGAGACAACATTTTGAAGAATTACTAAATGAGGAGTCTGAAACTAATTTGAGTGAGGATACAGAGGAGGAACATAAAGAAGTTAAATGTTTAACGCCTCCTACAAGGGAGGAGGTAAATGAAATTTTAAATGAGATGAAAAACAATAAATCTGGAGGACCAAATGGAATAGTGGCAGAAAATCTAAAGTATGGAGGGTGGATGTTAAGGGAAGACCTATATAATTTGATAGAAGTAATATGGGAGCAGGAAAACATGCCGAAAGAATGGAGTAAAGCTAACATTATCCCTATCCATAAAAAAGGAGATAAATCTATATGCAGTAATTACAGAGGAATATCAATACTCGATGTTACTTACAAAGTTCTAGCAAGTACAATAAAACAAAAGCTCATACCTTATGCAGAGAAAATGCTTGGGGAATATCAAGGTGGTTTTAGAAAAAATAGAGGCACAAATGACCAAATTTTCACCTTAAAACAAGTGTTATCAGGATTGTATGAATATAATATACCAATGTTTATGCTTTTTGTAGATTTTAAAGCCGCTTATGATACAGTAGGAAGAAAGCAGCTATTTAATACGTTAAAAGAATTTAAAATACCCTTTAAATTAATAGAATTAGTAAAGATGACCCTAAGTAAAACATCAAAGGAGTTCCAGATAAAATCGGGACTCAGACCCTTTCTCAACAGTTCTATTTAATTTAGTTCTGCAAAAAATTATAAATAAATAAATTAACAGAAATGGATCTTTATTTTCTAGAAGCCATCAATGCTTAGCATATGTAGATGATGTGGTTGGTAATGGCACGAATTAAGGGAGAACTACAGAGGATAGCAGCGAATCTTATAAACATGGCAGAGAAAATGGGACTTAGGGTAAACTACGAAAAGAGTAAATACATGAAAATAGAATAAAAAAAGAACACACAAGAGATGGAAACACTAATAGTTCAAAAGAATTATCCCTAAAAGTAAAAATAAGAATGTATAAAACCATTATAAGACCTACTGTATTATATGCATGCGAAACATGGGTATTAAATAGGAGCAATCAAATTAAACTGGAGATATGGAAAAGAAAAATTCTACGCAGAATATTTGGAGAAAAAAAAGTCGAAGAGGGGTGGATAAGGCGAACAAATGCCGAAATTTATGACATTTATAAGGAACCCATAATAACTGAAGTGGTTAAATCAAGAAGGATACAATGCCTAGGGCAATGGATGACCATAAGCTGGTCAAAGGTATTGGAATCAAAATGGCAGAAGGAAACAGGAGAAAAGGAAGGCCAAGGAAAAAATGGATGGAAGAAGTATTAAAGGACCTAAAAGAAAAGAAGATTGTCGGATGGAAAACAAAGGTGAAGGACAGGAAAAAGTGGAAGGAGATAACAAAGCTATGGGCCTGAATGGCCTGTTAAAAGCTTATATATATATATAAATATATATATATATATATATATATATATATATATATATATGTATACAGTGTGACCCAATTGTTTGCGACTCACCCCTGTAAAATCTTTATTTATATTGTACATGGTACTATTACTATTAGTTTAATTTTATTTCAATGTTTTTTTTCATGGGTAACTTGACAGAATAAATTTTTGTAGTTATTATGGTGCATTTTTTTTTACTTAAAATTTTTCAATAAATGAATCCAGTGCCATGCTTAGATTTTGTTTAAAAAAATCGCTAATATGAATTCTTAACAATTTACTCTTAAAAACTGACATAGTAGGCCTTGTATTTTGTACAAATATTCCTTTTGTTGCTCAAAAAATACAGTTTATCAAGAAATACACTTTAAAAGAAATCCGGTTAAAATCGCACAATAAATAAAGATTTTAAAGGGGTGAATCGCAAACAAACGCCCAGATAACATTATGAGGTTCATAATTGACGCATATTGCAGTCACAACGTGATTGTAATCCGTACGTATGCACGCATATATGCATCATTTGCGTCATCAATTAAGGTTCATAGAGCCAGCACATGACATGAATATGACAATTGTCTACATTTTTAGAAAGCTATCTTATTTTAATTAAAATTAGGTATATTTTTACAAATTCATAAATACATTAGGTGATCTTAAGATCAACGTGTTAACTCGTTGATCTTAAGATCAATTCCAATTTGGAATTCCAAATAAAATTATTATATTTTTTATACAAATGTAGTCTACAAATTTACAAATCCAGTCTTTTCACAAATTAACCATATGGTGTAAGTCAATTTTTTGAAAATATAAGGTGAAGTAAAATCAACAATTTTCACAAGATGTTTGGCCAAAAGGCAAATCGAAAAGAATATTGTACTGATCTAAAGTACGTTTCCTTAAAAACTAATCCATGAAAACATACTCCGTATTCGAATTTTGTTGACTGGATTTCTGTGCAACAGGAGCGTTGTTTAATAAACACAACTTATTAAATGAAATGTATTTATTTTAATATAGAGATGATACTCGGTTGAATACTAATGAATAACTAAAAAATAACAAGAGCAGACTGCCACTCTTACATACAAAGAAAACTGAGTAGTCAGCCCTTTTTAAATATAAGAAAAAATATGACGCAGTTCTCGGCATCTTGTATGGTATTTTAAAAACCCTCGGTGGTTTAGTAGTTAACATATTAAGTTGACAGTGTTTTATTGCACCATACATAAAATAAAAAACTTATCATTATATAATAAAAATAAGTTGAGAGTAAAAATAACGCATAAGTTTAAGTAACATAATTTTAATGACATTGTACAATATACATTGACATTGTACATGGTTTAAATTTATTTGGTTTTACAATATTTGGTTAAAAAAAAACATTATCAACTATAAATCGGAAGTATCCCTAATTTTGAAGAGGGCCTTTTGAAAATACCAGTTTTGGTTCGTACTGTGACCGCTCTTACAATTGTATCTGACCCAGTATGTACTTCTTCGATTCTTCTTAAGTTCCATTGCATGCTTGGTAAATTATCTTCTTTGACTAGTACCAATAAACCAACTTTTAAACCTGATTCTTTCGATTGTTCATTATATGTTATTTTTTAAAGAATTGATTTCACGTAAAAATTATATTATCTGTATTAAACGGGCTATTGCATTTTCTGATTTTTGTAATGTTTGAATCTGTTGTTCGCGGTTTTTTTTATGAAACACAAGGCAGTACGCAAAAATACCTTTTAGTTTAGTATATAAAGAACAACGGTTTATCGTGTTTATTAAATGAGCTGTCCACAAGTCTGGTTTAGTTTTTGGCAAATCGTTCAAACCCGGTATTTTCGATTGAGGCCATTGTGTCTCATGATTGTGTAAGGTAGGTTCCGACATCCACAGGTGATTTTCTAAAAAATCATTCGGATACGGACCTCGCGATAACGCGTCTGCTGGATTATCGGGTGATCTGATATGATTCCAATAAGATATTTCAGTTTAAGATTGCATATCTGTTACGCGATTAGCTACATGGCTCTGTTTTGGCCCAGACGGTAGATGCACACTGTCGACTTTGATTTTGATAGCGTCGCTTACTTGCTTATATAAATAAGATTTTGAACATAATAAAATAACCTCGTAAGAGTCATTGGGAGTCTTTGATTGCAAATAAACACACGCGCTGTATCCTGCTTAGCTAGCATCGCAAAACCCGTGTAATTCTAATTCTTTAAAATCCTTTAATATTTCTAATCGTTTGAATAAAATTTGATTAATGGAATTAAGCTGAGAGCAAAAACTATTCCATGCGTAATATGCTGTACTGGGTATTGATTCGTCCCAGTCTGCATTAGCCTTCCAAATATCTTGCATGAGCCTTTTTGCAAATATTATCGGACCAAGCAGACTAAGGGGATCGAAAATGTTAGCTATTTTGGATAACATTTCCCTTTAAGTAATTGACTGGTTGACAGAAATACTGGAAATTTGTAAATAAACTCCCAGAGTTTTAATTGAATTACACTACTATACTATACTATACAGGGATGGTAATGAGCTCTTAGGCCGTTTAA